ACGAGCTATGGTTCTGAGACAACGATTGTCAGATACCTGAAGACGTCTCAGTTCCGCTGCTCGAATTGGCCAATTCTCACAGCCATACAACAGCCCGTACTGGACAAGTTCAGTACAACGTCTGAACTTGGCTTCACGGGACAGATGTGATCAATTTGTCAAGCAGTCATGTATTGTTACTCAACAAGTCCTTTTGAGCATCAACAAGCGTTTGTTAACATCTGAGGTGAATGGATCTTCAAAGCAAACAGGTTTCAAAAGTCTGGTAAAACGTCGCGAAAATAACTCTCAGCCAGACCGAATCCACAAGTAATTGAAGTCTGCAGGCCTGGCCACCTGGAAGCTTCAAGACAGTGGCAGCCAAGCAAAAACAACTGCTTGTAGGGACTGCCTCGCGCGACCAAACATCATAGCGAAACGGAAGTGAACCTTTACCTATTATATGCATTTGTCGGGGACAGCAGGGGATAAATCATTTGTCCAAACTGGGTCACTTCGTTTTGTAGTAATACGTAGCCGTCAGTAACACTATATTGCTTTCTATAATCTTCGAATTTATCCTTTGGTGGAAATTATATCGCCCTAATATTATTCGATGATTCATATCTAGAAAATATATTGAGTACTAAAAGCAAGACACAGTGAACGATATTCTTCTCCTTGGACACAGTCCATTCCGGTGAGGTTCGCGAATGTTCAATCAGGAAAGTTAGGATAACAGATATTCAGGAACTAGGCCTAACCTAAGTACCTCGAAAAGAGTGAAACCAATGATTTCCATCGACCTTATGGATGGTGGTGGATTAGATATCTTTCAAAAAAGGGAGGAAAAGATTGATAAAGCACACGAAAGAATTGGTCACATAGCACTGCCATTATGCTCATCAGAAGGAGACAAAAATTCATATCGTGTGGCTTTCTTCTGCGAGAAATCGTACGGGTGAACTGTATAAAGACAGTCATGCAAACAAGGATGAAAGTATCAACTCTTTCGTCACAAAGCAATCACCAAGTCTTTGGTTCTGGCGCCTGGTGTCGTTAAACAGGATGAAAACCCTGTGTTTCTTCCGCGGTACATTTTCTCGACTCTGTGGTTGCGCTAAACGTACACCGACTATCCTGTGTGCCCTCACGATACAACCTAGGGTCAAATACGTACGGACCGTAGCTTGAATAAATATGTGAGTGTGAACACTATTCAGGTTGACAAGCGTAAATGCTGTTGATCAGCCAGCGAGTTGGTAAGACTAACTGTGAACACCGAAGTGACAGTACAATGATGGGCTAGGTGTACTGATTCAATAAAGCTGGTGTCAACAGGGTAAAGGATAGATATCAACTTCACTCATTATAGCACGCATACAATAGTTCAGAGGTAGCTACCTTTCGGATCCTAGCTGTACTTTTCACTCAAAGGAAGCTGGAATACTGTCAGGTCACTCGAGACCGGATAGAAGCCGTCCAGATGTGGAGATTGAGTTCGAACCAATGACCTTCCGGTCAGTAAGTTCGCACCACTGAGTCATCTCGGGTATGCATATGGTAAACGATTAACGTGGCCTGAGGAAAACACTCCAGGAGTCAACCTCTTTGAAAAGGGAGATTGTGCAGTTGAACCGCGTGAACCCGGGTACTAGTTATTCATTCATTCTTTCATTCGTACATTGCCTAAACTGAGTAAAGTATTAACCATATCAAGTCAGGTTTTCTACCTTCAAATAATGGGGAATGTAATAGACAAACCGTCTGGAGGTGTATTCAGTCATTTTTTGGGTTGAACCCTGTGGAACTGGATATATGACCTACATACGCAAAATCTGTTCAATTTGATTGGCGAAAGTCTAAGTGTCTGTTCCCAGCTGTACCTCTGAACAGCGCAATCCGAGTATGACAAATGAAATCGGAAGTCCTAGAAGAGTTATTTCGATGGTACTGTGAACAGACTTGGGTTTTTTGTGGAGATTTTGTCCCGCAAGGGAAGCCAGTCTATGCTAAAAAGCCGAGAAGCACTGTATAGCTGTTTCATCCTCATTGGGAATCATCAGCAGTGCGCAGCTCACGAAACTCCGTAGAGTCTCGAAATCGCGATCTCCTGGCTAGTCGTTTGAACACTTAATCGTTCAGCCACTAGAGTGGCTTTTCAGCATAGATCAGCTTCACTTACGGGACGAAATCTCCACAAGAGTTATTTCATTCTGAATAAGGATTTTGTCTTGTAAGTGAAACCGGTCTAAGCTAAAAAAACCGAATAGCCCTGTAGTGCTCCCTCATTCTTATTGGAAATCATCAGCAGTGTGAATCTCAGAAAACAAAAGATCCTCCTGCAAGTAATTCGATCATTAAATCGTTCAGCCACGAGGGGCTGATCCGATGTGCGATTTAGTCACATTTGGACAGGAAATAGCACCGCTCATCCTTCACTCCTAGAATCCACATCGCGTGGTCGTGCGTGTTGACTGACTCCTCGAGTGTCGACGTCTTAGGTGAAAGTTTCATCCACTGAGTGGATTTCATTCATTCTACGAGCTGCTAATCGATTGTTGGTGATGTGAGGAGATTTGGAAATTCTAAAGCAGATTTCATCCTGTAAGTGAAGCCAATCAATTTTGAAAAGCCAACAAGTACAATATAGTTGTTTTCCTCTTGTTGCAGATTATTAAAAATACTTATCTGGCGGGTTTCCAGCAAGGTTCGAAACTTCTAGTCTTGTAATCGAAGCCTGTGTCGCTAGGTTCATCGGTAGTATGATTGAATCGCAGTTAGACAAGATTTAGAGTAATTTATTTGTTCGTGGACTTGCCCATTTTCCGGAAGCTACCGAGGGAAAAACGATTTCCTGTCCCCTTGAGTTTGCGGCTTCACGAAATTGGCTATGTGAGATGAAGTCTTAGTAGCTTGTTCAAGAGATTCTTTGATCGATTTGACTAGCTAACACGACAAGCAAAACTGTCTCAACCAAAAACTCTCCGACTGAGGAAATTGCTGTCAGGGTAAAGAAGCGTAGCACGTCAGCTTGCCGATGAGATGATATCACGCCATGTGATCCAGTTTGCCCAACTCTGTGGTCTACCTAATTCTCACCAAATGAACCATCCTGATGGTCATGTTAAAATTCTCGCATATCCTGAATCAACATGAGTGATTAAATTCCAGAACAACTCAATGCCAATGTCACATTTAGTGGTGCATGTCGCTGCGCTCATAGACGACAAAGGTAAAAATGCTCTTGATAGGGATGGTGTTTTTATATATTCATGCCTTCATCAAGTCACAAGATTTGTAGGTTTCGGCGTTGAAATTGCACTCTTGGATCCCTTGTTGCTGTCAGTATATTTGCACACCAGCCGAAAAAACTTAATTACTGACACTTTGATTCTCTGCATATCCTTGTTGGATTCTTGAAACTCAGCGAGTGAAATCTTTGATAGAATCTAAACACTTAGGCATAAAATGTTTTTGAGCGTACCATCTGAAATAATGACCACATTGGTCGAAAACATGTCATTCGTTAGTGCCATTACCCCTCCATAAATGCTACCTAAACCTATCGTTCAACGCCTCGAAAAAACCGGTAGGAAAGAAAACAACCCCACCTTGAGCATATTTCATATGGGGTTTCTGACTCGACCAAATCTATCAGAGTGGAATAGTGGCGGTTGGCAACCATATCTTGTAGTGTTTCCAACCAGGCACAGTGTGCATCACGCGGTCCCCATCCTGGAAGGCGAGTAGCAGCGACAGCACATAATCGTTTCGTGATCTCCTTCATACTCCTCTGCCAAGTCAAGGGTTGGCTACCTCTCTGTCTACGCCACTCTTAATTGGGCATGGAAAACAGCACTCACTTCGGCAAACGATGACTAGGTATACGCAACACATGTCCCAACCAACGCAGCTTCTGGTGCTGGACATATTCTTCACTGCACGACCGAAAACGTGGTTTCTAACTGCCTCATTACGGATTCGCTGACACCAACCCACATGAGCTATGGTTCTTAGGCAACGATTATCGAATACCGGAAGACGTCTTACTTCCGCTGCTTGAATGGGCCAAGTCTCACAGCCATACAACAAAACAGCCCGTACTTTAGCTTGATACACACGTCCCTTCAGATTCAGGGATAAACCACTCTGACGCCAAAGGTGTCTCAAATTGGCGAACCTCGCAGATTCGTGCATTGACCTAATCTGTCACACTACGATCAGAACTAATACCACTTCCAAAATACGTAAAACGCTCCACAACTTCCACTACCTCTCCCTGGATTGTAAGCAGCGTGTTCGGTGGCTGCACGTCCAGAAGCATGACCTTAGACTTTGTAGGTCAAAAGTGCATACCAAACGACTGGATGACTTTGGTCAGTTCATTCAAGAGTAATTGCGCCTTCTCCTCCTCTTCGACCATTAGAACGATGTCGTCTACGTATTCCAGATCGACAAAGTGTTCCTCACAGGCTATTTGAACACCAGGGTTTTGGAGATCCTCCAGCGTTCGTCTCATTATTTCATCTATCACGAAGTTAAAAAGGAATGAAGAGAGTGGGCATCTCTGACGGACATCGCTTTGTGTACGGAAGCTTTCGGAGAGCTCTCCGTACATGAATCGCCTGATTCCAAACGCCCCTTACCTCTACCATGCTGGAAATGCTAGAACTGCCTCAAGCCACTGAAACTGGAAAACTAGGGATTCAACTATGAGGCAGATCATGGATGCGGCCTAGTTGATTGCTTCAATGATCCAATGGTGATTGAATATTACAAAAATGCGCCTTGGTTTAGATACATCAAGCACACTGAAATTAATGAGAAAGTATGGAACAATAGAAGGCAATCGATAACCTCCAGGCAGGCCACTCAGTCACCAGTTCTTCATCATCATCATCATCGTCATCTGTAAGAACCGCGTACTCGTCGTACAGTGGTTGTAGCTGCTGCAGTTTCGTTCACCGATGATTTGGGGGGGGGGGAGTAGGTAGCTGTGCAGTGGAGGCGGGAGCTGATAAATTGGTGCATAAATCCAGCACTGTCAGTGGGCTGTCAAATGGAGGGGGTTGGAAAAGGAGCTAAGCATTGAAGGCAATAGCTTGGATGCACGAGCGCCACTGAGGTCGCGAACGGGCCATGTCTGACAATGCCC